GCTACAGCCAGTACTGAGTAAGTGCTACAGTCAGTACTGAGTAAGTGCTACAGTCAGTACTGAGTAAGTGCTACAGCCAGTACTGAGTAAGTGCTACAGCCAGTACTGAGTAAGTGCTACAGCCAGTACTTAGTAAGTGCTACAGCCAGTACTGAGTAAATGCTACAGCCAGTACTGAGTAAGTGCTACAGCAGTACTGAGTAAGTGCTACAGCCAGTACTGAGTAAAGTGCTACTGCCAGTACTGAGTAAGTGCTACAGCCAGTACTGAGTAAGTGCTACAGCCAGTACTGAGTAAGTGCTACAGCCAGTACTGAGTAAGTGCTACAGCCAGTACTGAGTAAGTGCTACAGCCAGTACTGAGTAAGTGCTACAGCCAGTACTGAGTAAGTGCTACAGCCAGTACTGAGTAAGTGCTACAGCCAGTACTGAGTAAGTGCTACAGCCAGTACTGAGTAAGTGCTACAGCCAGTACTGAGTAAGTGCTACAGCCAGTACTGAGTAAGTGCTACAGCCAGTACTGAGTAAGTGCTACAGCCAGTACTGAGTAAGTGATACAGCCAGTACTGAGTAAGTGCTACAGCCAGTACTGAGTAAAGTGCTACAGCCAGTACTGAGTAAGTGCTACAGCCAGTACTGAGTAAGTGCTACAGCCAGTACTGAGTAAGTGCTACAGCCAGTACTGAGTAAGTGCTACAGCCAGTACTGAGTAAGTGCTACAGCCAGTACTGAGTAAGTGCTGCAGCCAGTACTTAGTAAGTGCTACAGCCAGTACTGAGTAAGTGCTACAGCCAGTACTGAGTAAGTGCTACAGCCAGTACTGAGTAAGTGCTACAGCCAGTACTGAGTAAGTGCTACAGCCAGTACTGAGTAGTGCTACAGCCAGTACTGAGTAAGTGCTACAGCCAGTACTGAGTAAGTGCTACAGCCAGTACTGAGTAAGTGCTACAGCCAGTACTGAGTAAGTGCTGCAGCCAGTACTTAGTAAGTGCTACAGCCAGTACTGAGTAAGTGCTACAGCCAGTACTTAGTAAGTGCTACAATCAGTACTTAGTAAGTGCTACAGCCAGTACTGAGTAAGTGCTGCAGCCAGTACTTAGTAAGTGCTACAGCCAGTGCTTAGTAAGTGCTACATCCAGTACTGAGTAAGTGCTACAGCCAGTACTTAGTAAGTGCTACAGCCAGTACTGAGTAAGTGCTAACAGTCAGTACTTAGTAAGTGCTACAGCCAGTACTGAGTAAGTGCTACAGCCAGTACTTAGTAAGTGCTACAGCCAGTACTGAGTAAGTGCTACAGTCAGTACTTAGTAAGTGTTACAGCCAGTACTGAGTAAGTGCTACAGCCAGTACTTAGTAAGTGCTACAGCCAGTACTGAGTAAGTGCTACAGTCAGTACTTAGTAAGTGCTACAGTCAGTACTTAGTAAGTGCTACAGCCAGTACTGAGTAAGTGCTATAGCCAGTACTTAGTAAGTGCTACAGTCAGTACTTAGTAAGTACTACAGCCAGTACTTAGTAAGTGCTACAATCAGCACTTAGTAAGTGCTACAGCCAGTACTGAATAAGTGCTACAGTCAGTACTTAGTAAGTGCTACAGCCAGTACTGAGTAAGTGCTACAGCCAGTGCTTAGTAAGTGCTACAGCCAGTACTGAGTAAGTGCTACAGCTAGTACTGGTAAGTGCTACAGCCAGTACTTAGCAGTGCTACAGCCAGTACTGAGTAAGTGCTGCAGCCAGTACTTAGTAAGTGCTACAGCCAGTGCTTAGTAAGTGCTACATCCAGTACTGAGTAAGTGCTACAGCCAGTACTTAGTAAGTGCTACAGCCAGTACTGAGTAAGTGCTACAGTCAGTACTTAGTAAGTGCTACAGCCAGTACTGAGTAAGTGCTACAGCCAGTACTTAGTAAGTGCTACAGCCAGTACTGAGTAAGTGCTACAGTCAGTACTTAGTAAGTGCTACAGTCAGTACTTAGTAAGTGCTACAGCCAGTACTGAGTAAGTGCTACAGCCAGTACTTAGTAAGTGCTACAGTCAGTACTTAGTAAGTGCTACAGCCAGTACTTAGTAAGTGCTACAATCAGTACTTAGTAAGTGCTACAGCCAGTACTGAATAAGTGCTACAGTCAGTACTTAGTAAGTGCTACAGCCAGTACTGAGTAAGTGCTACAGCCAGTACTTAGTAAGTGCTACAGCCAGTACTGAGTAAGTGCTACAGCCAGTACTGATAAGTGCTATAGTCAGTAACTGAGTAAGTGCTACAGCCAGTAATGAGTAAGTGCTACAGCCAGTACTGAGTAAGTGCTACAGCCAGTACTTAGTAAGTGCTACAGCCAGTACTGAGTAAATGCTACAGCCAGTACTGAGTAAGTGCTACAGTCAGTACTTAGTAAGTGCTACAGCCAGTACTTAGTAAGTGCTACAGCCAGTACTTAGTAAGTGCTACAGTCAGTACTTAGTAAGTGCTACAGCCAGTACTTAGTAAGTGCTACAGCCAGTACTTAGTAAGTTGCTACAGCCAGTACTTAGTAAGTGCTACAGCCAGTACTTAGTAAGTGCTACAGCCAGTACTTAGTAAGTGCTACAGTCAGTACTGAGTAAGTGCTACAGTCAGTACTTAGTAAGTGATACAGCAAGTACTTAGTAAGTGCTACAGCCAGTACTTAGTAAGTGCTACAGCCAGTACTTAGTAAGTGCTACAGCCAGTACTTAGTAAGTGCTACAGTCAGTACTGAGTAAGTGCTACAGCCAGTACTGAGTAAGTGCTACAGTCAGTACTTAGTAAGTGCTACAGCCAGTACTTAGTAAGATGCTACAGCCAGTACTAGTAAGTGCTACAGCCAGTACTTAGTAAGTGCTACAGCCAGTACTTAGTAAGTGCTACAGTCAGTACTGAGTAAGTGCTACAGCCAGTACTGAGTAAGTGCTACAGCCAGTACTGAGTAAGTGCTACAGCCAGTACTAGTAAGTGCTACAGCCAGTACTGAGTAAATGCTACAGCCAGTACTGAGTAAGTGCTACAGTCAGTACTGAGTAAGTGCTACAGCCAGTACTGAGTAAGTGCTACAGTCAGTACTGAGTAAGTGCTACAGTCAGTACTGAGTAAATGCTACAGCCAGTACTGAGTAAGTGCTACAGCCAGTACTGAGTAAGTGCTACAGCCAGTACTTAGTAAGTGCTACAGCCAGTACTGAGTAAATGCTACAGCCAGTACTGAGTAAGTGCTACAGTCAGTACTGAGTAAGTGCTACAGCCAGTACTGAGTAAGTGCTACAGCCAGTACTGAGTAAGTGCTACAGCCAGTACTGAGTAAGTGCTACAGCCAGTACTGAGTAAGTGCTACAGCCAGTACTGAGTAAGTGCTACAGCCAGTACTGAGTAAGTGCTACAGCCAGTACTGAGTAAGTGCTACAGCCAGTACTGAGTAAGTGCTACAGCCAGTACTGAGTAAGTGCTACAGCCAGTACTGAGTAAGTGCTACAGCCGTACTGAGTAAGTGCTGCAGCCAGTACTTAGTAAGTGCTACAGCCAGTACTGAGTAAGTGCTACAGCCAGTACTGAGTAAGTGCTACAGCCAGTACTGAGTAAGTGCTACAGCCAGTACTGAGTAAGTGCACAGCCAGTACTGAGTAAGTGCTACAGCCAGTACTGAGTAAGTGCTACAGCCAGTACTGAGTAAGTGCTACAGCCAGTACTGAGTAAGTGCTACAGCCAGTACTGAGTAAGTGCTACAGCCAGTACTGAGTAATGTGCTGCAGCCATACTTAGTAAGTGCAACAGCCAGTACTGAATAAGTGCTACAGCCAGTACTTAGTAAGTGCTACAGCCAGTACTTATAAGTGCTACAGCCAGTACTGAGTAAGTGCTACAGCCATACTGAGTAAGTTTCTACAGCCCGTACTGAGTAAATGCTACAGCCAGTACTGAGTAAGTGCTACAGCCAGTACTGAGTAAGTGCTACAGCCCGTACTGAGTAAGTGCTGCAGCCAAATACTTAGTAAGTGCTACAGCCAGTACTGAATAAGTGCTACAGCCAGTACTTAGTAAGTGCTACAGTCAGTACTTAGTAAGTGCTACAGCCAGTACTGAGTAAGTGCTACAGCCAGTACTGAGTAAGTGCTGCAGCCAGTACTTAGTAAGTGCTACAGCCAGTACTGAATAAGTGCTACAGCCAGTACTTAGTAAGTGCTACAGTCAGTACTTAGTAAGTGCTACAGCCAGTACTGAATAAGTGCTACAGCCAGTACTTAGTAAAAATATATGATAAGCAGGAATACCAAGATGTTAGCAGCACTGCTCTTGTAATTACAAGAAGGTAATTACTTCCAGGAAATTACTTAGAAGATTCATTAAGAGTATGCAAAGCACACACACACACACACACACACACACACACACACACACACACACACACACACACACACAGCTGGTCATGATTGTTAAAAACTCCTAAATTTCACAAGTTTGCAACAAGACTAGTCCTCTGTCTGGGAAAAATGAGCTATGAGGAAAACATTAATGATTGAACTGAACCTCTGGACATAAAAAGAAGATCTGAAAGAGCGGACATAATTAAACTCTGATGACGGGACACCATAAGCATAACTGCTCTTACCAGTAGATAAAGTTACATTATTTATTTATTTATATATTTATTATTATTATTATTGTTATTATTATTATTATTATTATTATTATTATTATTATTATTATTATTATTATTTTTATTATTATTATTACTATCATTACATTCCCTGTTGAGTACCAAAATCTTATGGATCTTACAGTGCCTGTGAAATCATAATTATTCAGATTTGCTCCCATATACATATTTTTTGTTCTGACAAAAGCAATATACGTATATATATACATATATATATATAATATATATATATATATATATATATATATATATATATATATATATATATATATATATATATATATATATATATATATATATATATATATATATATATATGTATATACTGTGAGCAGACGTACAAGAATAGTTATTCTCTTGGTTCAGACCAAAACACACTGGCTTCTCCCCGCTCCAGACACCGTCTACACAGCGGCGGCTGGTGGAGCCCATCAACGCGTACTTCCCGATATCCACACACCGCGACACCTGTGGGAGGAAGGAACACGCGTTGTTGTAGAGAAGCAACCGCAACACTCTGCTACGAAGGGAAAACTGAGAGAAAATTACATCGGAGGAGCCTGGTGATGTTTCTCTCCATCTTATTACTTGTGTTCCTCTCCATCTCATTACTTGTGTTCCTGTCCATCTCATTACTTGTGTTCCTGTCAATCTCATTATTTGTGTTCCTCTCCATCTCATTACTTGTGTTCCTCTCCATCTCATTACTTGTGTTCCTCTCCATCTCATCACTTGTGTCACTCTCCCTTACTGAAAAGCATTGCAAGAATGATGTTGCAGTAGATAAAAGTGTTAGGGTTTATTTAAGTAACTCTGCTTAGAGGATGAAAAATACTTGAAAGAGAGAACAATACAACCATAATAGCTCTTGTTAACATTGCTCATCCCACACCGTCCTCCCACCCAGGATCAGTTCTTAGAAGACTTTTCCAGAGTATTGTCCGGACATGAAAACAATTGCGAGACAGTAATACTGGCGACTTCAATATCTGTTTTCAGCAGCAAAATAACGGGCTATGCAAAAGGTATAAGCAAATTCTAGGATTAAATAGTTACACTCAACTAATTAATACACCAACCCGGATCACACAGTTCTCAGCCACCCTAATTGATCACATACTTTGTAACCGCGCTGAGAGCATTAGTCAGTCAGGCGTCATTACCACAGGTCTTAGTGATCATTTCATCATTTACTGCACCAGGAAAATCACTAGAGATAGGATAGGCCTGCACAGGACAATAAAAATGAGGTCAACTAGAAACTACAGTAAAGAAACACTGGTAAATAGGCTACACAATTGTGACTGGACAGAGATAACAAGTTGCACGGACGTAAACGATGCCTGGGAAAAATTCAAAACAATGTTCACTACCATCCTTGATAATATTGCACCAGTTAAAGAGGTTAGGATTAAACGAAGAACTGAACCCTGGATGACTACTGAGATATTAGATAATATGAAATTCAGAGACCAGCTGCTAAAAAGATTTAAAGCAAACAGACGGGATATTGCAGCACTAAATGAATTCCAAAGGGTGAGAAACAGAGTACAGAGACTTATAAAAGGAGCAAAGGCAAAGCACTACTGCTCAAAAATTGAAGAGTATAAGCATAACCCCAGAAAGCTCTGGCAACAACTAAAACAGTTGGGGTATAGCCATAAGCCTGTAGATAGGTCTAACATAGTACTCACTATCGATAATGAAGTATGCCACGAAACATCTAAGGTGGCAAATTGCTCTAATTCCTACTACACATCTGTTGCATCAACACTAGTAAGTAAACTACCAGCTGCATCAAATATCTTTAACACAGACTCTGATAAGTTTCAAACATACTATACCAATAAAGGGGTAACCCCAAACAGTTGTCAACTAGTAAGTGTATCTCATGACTTTATTCAAAAAGAACTAAGCAGGTTAAACCCAACTAAGAGCACAGGCCCTGATAACATCCCGTCTAAGTTCCTAAAAGATGGTGCTTCTGAACTGTCAATCCCTATTGCTCACATAATAAATCTATCAATCACCACTAATACCGTACCGGAGGGGTTCAAGGAGGCCAGAGTTACTCCTATCTTCAAGAAAAATAGTAGGTCTGATGTAAGCAACTATAGGCCTGTTAGTATACTCAGTATAATATCTAAAATTCTAGAGAGGGCGGTGTATTCTCAAGTAGTTAAGTACCTTAATGACAATAACATTCTCCATAGCTATCAATCGGGCTTTAGAAGATCCTACTCAACCGACACCTCCCTTATTAATCTGATGGATTACCTGAGAACTGAAATGTCAAAGGGGAACCTCATAGGTATGGTAACCTTAGACCTGCAAAAGGCCTTCGATACTGTCAACCACAATATATTATGTAATAAACTTCAAACTATCGGTATAGGTTCTGTAGACTGGTTTAAGTCCTACCTTAGCAACAGGAGACAAATAGTCAAAATCAACAAAACAGAATCAGAACCCCTGCCGATAGCATGTGGAGTTCCCCAAGGTAGTATTCTGGGTCCCTTATTATTCTTGTTATGTCAATGACATGCCTATCAGTGTCAAGTGCAAACTCCTATTGTATGCAGATGACAGTGCCCTGTTAGTGTCAGGTAAAGACCCACAAGATATAGCTAATGTTTTAACACTGGAACTGGAGTCCTGCAGCAAATGGTTAGTAGACGGCAAACTATCATTACACCTCGGGAAAACTGAAGCCATTCTCTTTGGCACGAAACAAACTGAGAAGGGTAAATAATTTTAATGTCCAGTGTAATGGGGAGCCCATCACTTTGGTTTCATCAGTAAAATATCTGGGAATCCCCTTTGACCCATGCATGTCAGGAGAATTGATAGGGAACAGTGTAGTAAAGAAAGCGAATGCCAGACTGAAGTTCCTGTATAGACAAGCACAGTGTCTACCTACTGAGGCTCGCAGGACCCAATGTCTAGCCCTTATACAATGCCATATGGATTACGCTTGCTCTTCATGGTTCTCTGCCTTGACAAAAAAAAACTGAAAGATAGACTGCAAATCACCCAGAACAAAATTGTAAGATTCATCCTGGGGCTGGGGCCAAGAGAACATGTAGGCCAGGATGAATTACAGCAGTTGGATATGCTGAATGTTGAAGACAGAGTAAAACAACTGAAGCTAAATCATGTTTATAAAATTGCTCACAAACAGTGTCCAGAATATCTTTCTGACAATTTTGTCAAGGTTGGGAACCAAAGCAATCATAGTACTAGGGGGAGATAGCACAACTTTGTGGTACCCACAGTCATTGGCCAGGCTTCAAACACCTTTTATTGTACAGCAATAAAGGAATGGAACAGACTGCCTGCACATGTCAAAGCCAGTCTTTAGCATAAACCCCAGTTAAAGAAGACTGCCAAAAGCTGTCTGATGAATGTAGCTACAGAAAGGGAGGGGAATGATTTTCTATTTTTTTAGCTAACATACGTGTAAATTTTATCTTATTCCTAGTAATGACCCTCGTATTGTAGATAGTCTTAATGACCTTCGTGTAGTAGATAGTCTTTTTAGTATGATAATAAGATGTTATCTTCATTATAGAATAATAAGAAAATATTATAACCTTTATATTATATTAATAAGGTAAAAGGACCCCAATGGAAATAAGTCACTCTATCTGACTTTTTTGGGTTATCCCAGGTTCTCTACACATATGCTGCTATGTATGATAATTCTATGTAACTGTATTTGTGTATACCTGAATAAACTTACTTACTTATTTACTTACTGTTCATCACACCATCACTGTTCATCACACCATCACTGTTCATCACACCATCACTGTTAATCACACCATCACTGTTCATCACACCATCACTGTTAATCACACCATCACTGTTCATCACACTATCACTGTTCATCACACCATCACTGTTCATCACACTCTCACAATACCTCACTAACCACATCCCACACCATCACTGTTCATCACACCATCATTGTTCATCACACTCTCACAACACCTCACTAACCACATCCCACTTATTAAACTCACATATATTTCCTCTCTCACTAGCTATTCCTCTTCCATTTCATCAGATCAACAGACAGCATTCGTTATTCCCTTCTTCATTATGATCTCCATTACATCCCCCCCCACTCACCAGCTCCGCCCCGGGTTCGAAGTCCACCACCATCCCCCCTCACTCACCAGCTCCGCCCCGGGTTCGAAGTCCACCACCATCCCCCCTCACTCACCAGCTCCGCCCCGGGTTCGAAGTCCACCACCTCTTCGGTAATTTCCTGGTCGTTGTAGAAGGTGACAACATTGGGTTCAGACTTTCTCCATGTACAAGACTTGTTGCCGTAGTTCTCTTCCTCGTCGGCGCCCTCTGCCTCGCAGGTGGTGGGGGGTCGCAGCCCCTGCCATGAACCATCCACACACGTCATGTCCCAGCTGGTCTTCACACCGATGTTGTTGGTTTTGCAGTTGAAGGTGACAGTGGTGCCATCCGGGAACCTGTGCGAGGAGGAAGTAGGTAAGTACTCACCTAGGAGAGTTTATCTCAGCAGCAAAACATCTCCAAGCCCTCCCCCACCCCTTAACAAATATTCTCTCTCTGTTTCTGTCCGTCTGTCTGTCTGTCTGTCTCTCTCTCTCTCTCTCTCTCTCTCTCTTTCTCATTCAGCGCTTGGGGAACGTAAGATAATCAGGATCGAATCTAATTAGGGAGAGGAGCTTCAGTTCCCTGGAACAAGAGCCTTACACAACTCTCGAGGTCCTTTCACTCTTGAATGGAGAATAATTTAAAGCTTCAGAACCCAACATTACCAGAGGTATCCAGTGAAGACAAATACAACACAATCCCAATATATTGGGGAAAAAAGAGGCAGTTACGGTATAAAACGATCGTATATTGACACCGTTTCGCCCACACAGTGGAATTTATCAGGTGATTTGATGAACTTCGCCGTGTGGGCGAAACGCTATCAATAAGGGATAGTATTATTCTGCATTTGTCTCTTGACGGAAAAGATTTTGCTCAACCAGAAGTGACATGAAGCTAATACCACAAGTGACATGACGGTAAAACTGCCAGTGACATGAAGCTAATACCACAAGCGACATGACGGTAATACTACCAGTGACATGACGGAAATACTACCAGTGACATGAAGGTAATACTACCAGTGACATGACGGTAATACTGTCAGTGACATGAAGGTAATACTACCAGTGACATGACGGTAATACTGCCAGTGACATGAAGGTAATACTACCAGTGACATGAAGGTAATACTGCCAGTGACATCAAGCTAATACCACAAGTGACATGACGGTAATACTTCCGGTGACATGAAGCTAATACTACAAGTGACATGGCGGTAAAAACTGCCGTGACATGAAAACTAATACTACAAGTGACATGACGGTAATACTGCCAGTGACATGAAGCTAATACCACAAGTGACATGGCGGTAATACTGCCAGTGACATGAAGCTAATACTACAAGTGACATGACGGTAATACTGCCAGTGACATGAAGCTAATACCACAAGTGACATGACAGTAATACTACCAGGGACATGACGGTAATACTACCAGTGACATGAAGGTAATACTACCAGTGACGACGGTAATACTGCCAGTGACATGAAGGTAATACTACCAGTGACATGAAGGTAATTGTACCAGTGACACGACGGTAATACTCCCTGTAACATGAAGGTAATACTGCCAGTGACATGAAGGTAATACTACCAGTGACATGAAGGTAATACTACCAGTGACATGACGGTAATACTGCCAGTGACATGAAGGTAATACAACCAGTGATATGACGGCAATACTGCCAGTGACATGAAGTTAATACTACCAGTGACATGAAGGTAATTGTACCAGTGACACGACTGTAATACTCCCAGTAACATGAAGGTAATACTACCAGTGACATGAAGGTAATACTACCAGTGACATGACGGTAATAGTGCCAGTGACATGAAGGTAATACTACCAGTGACATGAAGCTAATACTACCAGTGACACGAAGGTAATACTGCAAGTGACATGAAGCTAATACCACAAGTGACATGACGGTAATACTACCAGTGACATGACGGTAATACTGCCAGTGACATGACGGTAATACTACCAGAGATATGAAGGTAATACTGCCAGTGACATGACGGTAATACTACCAGTGACATGAAGGTAATACTACAAATGACATGAAGGTAATGCTACCAGTGACATGAAGCTAATACTACAAGTGATATGACGGTAATACTACCAGTGACATGAAGGTAATACTACCAGTGACATGAAGCTAATACCACAAGTGACATGACGGTAATACTACCAGTGACATGAAGGTAATACTACCAGTGCATGAAAAGGGAATACCACAAGTGACATGACGGTAATACTTTCCAGTGACATGAAAGGGATTTCTACCAGTGACATGAAGGTAATACTACCGGTGACATGAAGGTAATACTACCAGTGACATGACGGTAATACTACCAGTGACATGAAGGTAATACTACGAGTGACATAAAGGTAATACTACCAGTGACATGAAGGTAATACTACCAGTGACATGAAGGCAATACTACCAGTGACATGACGGTACAACTACCAGTGACATGACGGCAATACTGCCAGTGACATGAGCTAATACTACCAGTGACATGAAGGTAATACTACTAGTGACATGACGGCAATACTACCAGTGACATGAAGGCAATACTACCAGTGACATGAAGCTAATACTACCAGTGACATGAAGCTAATACTACCAGTGACATGAAGGTAATACTACCAGTGACATGAAGCTAATACTACCAGTGACATGAAGGTAATACTACCAGTGACATGAAGAGCTTTAATACTACCAGTTGACATGAAAGTAATACTACCTGATGACATGAAGTAATTACTAACAGTGACTGAAGCTAATATACCAAGTGACTTGAAAGTAATACTACCAGTGACTGAAAGCTAATACTACCAGTGACATGAGGTAAATACTACAGTGACATGAAGCTAATATACAGTGACATGAAGTTAATATACAGTCACATGAAGGTAATTAGACGATCAGTGACTATGATGTGTGTATACTACAGTGCGGGCGCCGAATGAAGGTAATATATAGAGAAAGCATAACCAATAAACTTAAACAATTATATATACTATCCCGTCTACTGTGTGTATGATCTTAGCTTATATTAACCACCTATGTGCTCACTCGAAGTTATATAACTACAACTTGTGCTCAAGCCAATACACCCCATGTCTCACAGCTTGTGACTACGTATTTGAATGATATATAGACTAGTACGTAGATATGAGTATGTGTAATAGAGCATCTCACACTAGCGAAGCATTCTGTGTACTAGGATATATAGATTATAGATATACCTATCTCTATCAGTACCTCAACTACCAAGGAGACGCTACTCCGCAGATGTAATTATGTCTACCCCCATCGAATACGTGTATACCGACCAGTGAAGTAATCCGTTATAGACTCATGTAAGAATAAGGAATACTACAAGCCTCGCTCATGATGGTAATACTACCAGTGACATGACGGTATATACTACCCAGTGATATGAAGATGATAGAGAGATACTTGTGTGATGCCTGACGGTAATTATAACCAGTGACATGAAAGGGCACCCAATTCCTCATACTTACATGTGAAGATGGTAGTATGGTGCTTTGACGAACAGTGTCTATTGAGGTTAATACTTCAGTGAATAGAATCGCGCCTCCCCCCCCCCCTCACTCACTACAGTGAACATGAACAGGCATCAAATTACCTACCAGTGACAATGAAAAAGGCTCGGAAATTACTAACCAAAGTGACAATGAAGGTAACTCTACCAGTGACTCATGGACGGTAATACTACCAATGCTTTTCTGTAACCAGGTTCCACAATAAGAACTGGATCATCTTTTTATAAAGAAGAGAGATAAGCAATCCACCCAAATCTTGTCTATAGCACTTCTCTATATTTCTTCTTCTTATTCTTAATTCTACTTCTATATTATAATACCCCCCCACTTTCCTTGTCAATATAGCTTCATATCAAATGATCAGTACGCCAATGCGCCAGTCCCATAGATAATGCACCTAATTTCAACGTACTCCTCTCTGTCCTGAGTATATCTCACCTTCTACCATGTATCCACATCATCCATCCAAAACAACCCTCTACATTATATACTTCCTCTTCTTTCACCACTACTTACTCCTACACCCTCAGTCTCCTACTTCTCCCTCACCACCACTATCATTTCATTCTTCTCTTTCATCCCTTCTCGCTCTCCCCACACTACTTTAATACTCTTCTTACACTTCTTCATAGACCTACTTTAAACATCCAACCCTCTACGCTGTCTCCTCATCCCCCCCCCTCTTCTCCCTCTCAACGCACCAAACTTCTTCTATAATAAATAAAAACTCTTACTATCTTTAACAATATTCCCATATCCCCAAACACAACAAACCAAAAAACCATAAAAAAAAAAACAAAAACTCCAATACATACAATCCACTATCCAACTACGATGTATCATCTACCCTCCTCCCAACCCCACCTACCTCACATATCATATTTGTTATGATCACTAGATCTCCACAACTCACACATCTATCCAACACCTCTCTGCCAATTATGTCACGCATCACATCCAAGACACCTCACACAAGTCCCCAACTCCCACAAATCACAACAACTAAACATAATAAATCAATCTCCCCCATCTTCCAATATACATAACTCACACAATCACACTGAACCATAGACTCACTCCCAACCATAATGACACCCCACCCTCAAATAACCTATGCTCCTCACATATCCTACTCTCCATACCAATGTATCTATCACAGATATCTCTCTCACTCTCAATATACCACTCACTCTCTCTACAGATATATCCTATATAGATATATCACCATATACTACACCTCCACCCACCACTACTAACACCATCTCTCCCTCATCCCATCTACAGTCACATATCTATCCCTATTAAAGTACGCAGACATACTCTAACTCTCAAATACTTAGCTCACTAATAATAAAATTAAGTAATAATGTATTAATTTTATTACACACAACACCCCACCAAAAACAAACAACACCACCACAACAACAAACTTACATAATATAATAATGTAAACACCACTCCTCAAGATGTCTTGCCAGTGACATAGATAGATATATCAATACAGTGTGTGATGACTAATAATGTTATCATAATAAGCTCTCATCCTGAGCTGAATAACTAAATAGTTTAAACCATTAATCACTTGTCAGACATCATAGAAACAGTACAATTGTGTATACTTGCCCCACTTACTTAATAGTTATGTGTATAAGTACATAATAATAATAATAATATAATAATATTAATAATAATAATACATTTAAAAATAACATAAAATACCACACCACCCACCCCCCCCAACCCACCCCCTCCCCCACCTCCCCACCCCCCCCCC